ATCAGTAGCTTGGTTAAATTTCAAACAGTATTTTAAAATGTACTTTAGTTGATAAAATTAAAATATAAATTTTGATGGTGAATTTTTGTGAAAAAAAAAACACGACTTCGTTAAGATTCAAAAAAAGAAATATTATTTTTCCATTAACAAATGATGATAATACATACAAATAAATCTTTGTTCTTATTTGTGCATTCATATATTCGTTCACTGTATAGAAAAGCGTGCTGTTAAGTAGGGACAGATTAGTAGAACCCGTTGGCTTACGAGATGCTTGTTAGTCATTTGTGTGCATCAGTTGCATACAACAGTGGCGCGATCTATAAATATTAACGAATGATATACATAGTATTTTACGATACGATCTTAAAGAACAGGAGTGAACTTTCATTAAGCGAAGAAACATCTTACGGTTGTCGATTGTAAATTCTATTCCTTTAAACAAAAATCATTACTAATTTGCCAACATTGCTAATCTTATCAAGCGTCTAAAGACAATAGTGAAGGGAACATCTTTGTCATTATTAAAGCGGCAGCACAGTTATCAGTAAAGTATAATCTGTTTATTCAAAATTTGTACAGTTACCAATCGAAGATGTCTATTTCAGTAAGTGTATATCGATTAATTGTTCTTACTGTGTACATTAATTTTTATCATTGTTTCAAAATCTTGTTTTTTTTGCCTTTAGGCACAGGAGGTAAATTACACTCCTAGTAAATGGAGCAAGAGATTCGATGAGACACAAGTATTAATGCATTACTATACATTCGCCAAAGAAAGTACATTAAAATGAATATTAACAAAATTGAATTGAATTATCTTACAATCAAACAAATTTTGTAAAATAAAAGTTGATGTATATATTATTGCAGTTACCGCAAATGCTCGTAAAAATCTGAAATGCGAACTCGATGTTCCATATGCTGCAACAGAACGAACTAAATACGACATCTATGGAACTGATCTATCTAAAGGCGCGTATACGAAAGTTTTACGACGAACTTTCCATAAAATGTGAAAATCTCTTGTCAAATTGAAGACTATTATTTTTTTCATTAATTTATAATTTTTATACTACTTATATTCACCATAATAATATAGTCGTCTTTTCTTTTTTTAATCCATTTTTATTTTGTGCCAATTTTCAAGTTGATATAAAAGTATACAGTGTAATGAATTTTTAAACAAAATAATATGTTTATCTCAGATGCTCCTATATTTGTATTCGTTCACGGTGGTTATTGGCAAGAAGGTAGTAAAGACATGGCTGCATTTGCAGCTCCTGTCTTTGTCCGCAAAGGAATTAAAGTAATAACCATTGGTTACGATTTATGTCCTAATGGTAAATTTTCTACCTTTTTCTTTCTTTGCCTGCTTCCAGATATAAAATTAAAAATAATATTCCAAAAATATTTATATTTTAGTTAAACTTAGAGATATAATATACCAAGTAAAAACGGCAGTTGAGCATATATTAAAATATGCTTCGAGTTTGGGATGTCGGTACGATATGCACAATGATTATGAAGTAATTATTTTATTAATTTACAATATAATAATAAAATTGGGTGGATTTATGTAGAAATATTTGGGTCTCTGGTCATAGCGCTGGTGCTCATTTAGCAGCCAGTCTTTTGTTTGATGAATTATGGCTGGATAAAATGATAGAACAGGGACACCTGAATCTGTTGAAAGGTATCGTGTTAATAGGCGGCGTTTATAATTTAAAACCACTTGTCGATACGAATATTAGTACAACTTTAAAACTTACAAAGTAAGTACTCAAGTACTTTTATAAACTACATTTACACTTTTAGTTTACAGTAATATATAATACGCTTGATTTAGGGATGAAATCGACGCGTACAGCTTTACCACGCTGAATACCAAAAATAACACACCCATCCAACAGTTGAAAGTTATTGTCACTGCTGGACAATGTGATTCACCGGGACTTATTAACGAATCACGCGAATGTGCTCAGGTACTTGTGTTATTCTAAATGAATAGATAATAATTTTCATTTGTTCATTCTTTCACCTCTAAACAAAAACGTATAATCATCTTTTCCATTTTAGAAACTTCTTACAATGGTGGATCATGTTGAATACATTTTCCTTCGGGAAAATATCGATCATTTCGATATCGTGGAAAAACTCACGAAAGAAGAATTTGTTCTGACGAAAGTGATATTGAGTAATATATTACATGAATAGGAGGGAATAATTTTCGTATAAACAACATCTAACTGTACAAACGCAACACCAACATAAATTCATAACAAATATTTAATATACAAAATTGTATATATTTTGA